AATAATTCTGTCTTCGAACAAAACCCCAATAAATGAAATAGATAAAAACAGAGCCGCTCTGATTGATGTAGGGGTGGCATGGAGAAGGAGACAAAAGAGGTCCACCCTTTTAAAAGTCTCCTCACCCCCACCACAGAGCTATGGCTTCTGAGGGATTTTAGGAACACAGTTTGAAAATACTGGATTGAGGAAACTTTAGTCTCTCCTCTCTTGAAATTCTATTAATAGAGGCAGCTAAGGAATACCTGCGCTACCTTCTGGTCTCTACCACTTTAAGTTGAAAAGATAACAGGAGTCAACTCCCTGCGAGAGAAAAACACAGAACACGTGTGGCCTGGGCCAAGGCCAACGCCCCTCCTCATGGCCAGACCCAGGGAACCAGATGCTACATTTCTCTGATCCAAGAATAATGAGGGCTAGATAACTTGCGTGACTGGACTTGTCCCTTTTCTCCCTGCCCCCCACTCCCCTCCCTTCACCTAAGCTCAGAACTAAAGGCATCCAAGCGCACATGGCAATTTTCCTGAGCTTTGGAGTTACCAAAAATCTTAGCAAATATTCACAAAATCTTACAAAGTAAATAGTCTGGTGCCAACCAAAATGTAGAGTCAGATTCATTTGTCACCATCCTCCACCTTGTACACCTGCTTCAGCTGTCCGGAGAGGAATCAGCCCTGCAGACGCTCAAAGATTAACAGAAAACTATTTACTAGGGTGTGATCAGCTTAAGTCCTTAAGGGAACCGACAAAGGATCACTAAGCATCCAGGGACTAATAACAGCTGGAAGAGTTACCACTTGGTTTGAGAGAACAAGGAAAGAGAGCTGTCTGCCAACAGCTCTTGTTCGGGGAACTAAGTAAAAATACCTCTTCCACGTTGTAAGTGAGGAAACTAAGAAGATAAGGTAGAGAAGATGTGGAATCGCCGGTGGAAGAAACTTTTTCAATTTGAAGCGTACAGCAGCAGCCAAAGTATTTTAAAGAGTCCGGCGGCCAACTAAGCCACCAACAGGTCTCATTATGACCTTCCCCGCCACAAACCGAAAGTTGCCAGGAGTTGGGACTACAACTCCCGGCACGCATCTCCCCGCATCTGTAGCACTTTTCGATGATAGGATAAGGGGCTTCCGGAAGCATTGCATGTCGGGAATTGTAGTTATCCCAGTGGGGGTCGGCCGTACGCTGTAGCGTGCTCATTGGCGCCCAGGTTACCGCCCCCCTCCCCTCTCCGCTCTTCGGCGTATCACCCACGTATACGCAGAGCGCGCCCACACCCCCTCCCTAGGCCTAGGACGCAGGCGCGCGCACGCTCCCCGGGCTCGGTAGGCGGAGGGGGTGAGGGTAAGAGAAGGAGGGGGAGGGAGGGAGGGGGGTTAAGTGTCTACAGAGTAGACGGCAGTCGGGCACCGAGAGCGCGAAGGCCTGGCTACCAGGCGGTGAACTCTGCACTGAGTCTGGGGGCCGGCGGGAGGGTCCGGAGCCAAGTCAGCGCGCCCTGCGAATAGGAGTCGGGCCGCTGAGACCGGAGGGCAGCAGGGGGCTAAAGCCCCAGCCTAGGCCCAGCGCAGATGTCCGGCTGCGGCGCTTGTAGTTGCGGCGCCGCCGCCGCGCGGCTCATCACCTCCTCGCTCGCCTCCGCGCAGAGAGGTAACGAAGTAGTCCCTCACGTGAGCCAATGGCCCAGGAGTGTACCGGCCGGGGGTGGGGATCCCGGGGAGGGCAAGAGGTGTACCATGCCTTGAGGATGTGATGGGATGCGCGGCGTTTCTCGTGGCACCCCCCTCCCCCACTTTAGGATCGGGTTCTGCCAACCTCTGGAGCATCTGTTTCTCAAATTTGAAGTAGACCCCTTCTGCTCGCCCGCCCGCGCGCGTTCAGGCCTCTTGACTTTGGAGCCGGAATGTGCTCACTTAGCAGAAAGCCTGGAAGAGGCACAAAATGCTCCTTTCGTTAAAAAGTGCCCCACACCCTACTCAGGTCCGCCGGGCACTGCCGCCTTCCCTACCTTCGGCTTTTCCTCCGGAGCCGGGTCGGGTTCCTTTCCGGCCTGTCGGGGGCTCCCGGAAGGGCCCGGGGGAGGGGCTGCTACTGTTGAAGCCCCCCTTCAGGGCGCCGAGCCACCTGCCCCAGATGCAGGCCGCGAGAGACCCACGGTGTCACTGTCATTGTGCGGCCGCTTCCACCGGGGCATAAGCGGGGCTCATGGCCCTCCCGGAGCCAGGAGAACCTCGCGGCCCGCAGGGAAGCGGCCGGGGTGGAGAAATTCTCGTAGAAGTTGTTTTTGAAGTACTTCAATGTCTCGGTTGGTCGTTTGCCGGTTTTCCCAACTTGACTGAGATAGTTTTAAGGATGGCGCTTGTTTACCTTTACTTTGTTTATCAGGAGCTGTGAAAGAGTGTCATACCAGTCAAGGGATTCCGGAACAGAAACCATTTTCCTCTTCCCCCAAATCTATAAGTGTCAGACTACAGGCTGGGTTCTGTTATTTTATTTTGACTTGTCAACTAAATAAATAAAAAAAGCCCCCCTTTTCCTGTATTTTAGGTTAATTATAAAAGCTCCTACCGTATACTTAAGGTATCTCTTTCGACAGTTTATTTCACAAAGAGGGATGAAATGAAGTAATGTGGGCAGCATTTATAAAGTGATACTTAAATGTAAAGGAGTGAATTTAGTCTCAAGACATTGTTAAACCTGAACTCCAGGAATTTGAGTTGGAAACATGTGAAAGTGACATTGAAATTCACTTATTTGACGTCTTTTTTTGAGGGCCTAATATGTGCTGGGCCCTGTTTTGGTGCTGGAGATAGAGTAAGTCCTCAACTGCAAGTGTAAATCTACTGGAGCTCACAAAGAATAATATCATTTCTAGGAGTTGGGTAAAAGGTGTGTGTTCTCTTTGGGCAGAGAAGGCTTCTTTGACACAGTTCTTCATCTGTTTCAATCAATTTTCCGGTAAAACTATGAATCATAGGCGGCGTGTGGTGATTTAAAATTTTAATGAATCATTAGGTGAAGCAATACAAATTAATGGCTTATTTAGGTATTATTATTTGTTACTATAAGTTTGCCGTAAGTTTTCAGAAGTGATCAAACCATTTTTACTGTAAATGAGTAAATTAATCTTAAAATACGGGACATAACCTCATATCATTATAGAAGTTAATATTTTTACATGACAGTGAAACAGCTTGGTTTTCACATCAATTTAAGACTTTCTTAAGGCTTCATTTCACAAAATGTTTCTTTTCCGTAGTAGAAACTCTAAGATTATACACTAGTCTTCAATATAGAGATTTTTTTAAGGACTTAAAAAACTCCGGAAAGGTTATTTTTATTTAGGATTCTTGAAAAGAGGAAAAGGGGCAAAAGAGAAAAATCAGAATTGAACTTCAGTTAGTTTATTATTCTTATAAACATAAAGTTAAGAATTTCAAAAATATCCATAAACAAAAAATTTAATCAAAATAGTCTCAACAAGAAATTATACAATGAAGTAAGAATAAAAAGATTTCAGAGCTCTCTTGAAATATAATGCTATTCTCTATCTCTGTTTGTCATGTTAGACTTTAACATTTTTAAATGGATGGCCCCTGGGTGGCTCAGTCCCTTAAGCATACAACTCTTGATTTTGGCTTAGGTCATGATCTTGAGATGGAGCCCTGAGCTCTGTGCTGAAGCCCTGACAGCTTGGAACCTGCTTGGGATTCTCTCTTTACCTCTCTCTCTGCCCCTTCCCCGCTTGCTCATGTGCAGTCTCTCTCAAAAATAAACATTTTAAAAAAAAATAAAATTTTTATTTTTTCTTTTTTAAAATACAGAATCTTTTTTTTAATGTTTATTTATTTTGAGAGAGAGGGAGCATGAGCACGCGCAGGGGAGGGGCAGAGAGGGAGAGAAACAGGATCCTAAGTGGGCTCTGCTCTGACAGTGGAGAGCCTGATGCGGGGCTTGAACTCACGAACCAAGAGAGCATGACCTTAGCCAAAGTCAGACACTTAACTGATTGAGCCACCCAGGCCCCCATAAATAAAAATTTTAAATGGTAGTTTGAAGAAAAATTTGGTAAATTGTCATACTAGATACTGGATCTGTTTTCTTTTCCTGGTGGGCTATGTGTATCCTATTTAATGTGTTTTTTCACACTATGCTCTTTGAGTGAAACTTGTAGTAAAGGAGAAATTTTAAATATTTTTTTTCTACCCAAATTGCTGGTATTTTTCAATTTGTTATTTATTTTTGTACATATGTGTAAATACATACGTATTTTAAATGTGCTTTGCATACAGAACAATTAACATTATAAATATGTGCATTCAGGAGTGCTTGATTCCATTAACGAAACTCTGAATGACAGTACTTGGTCTGAATTTGGCTGTGAGAATTGTGGAATCACCTGTAATTCCCTTGATTTTTGGCTCCTTTAAGTTCATGTCCAGTGAAAGGGTGCCACCTCATGAGGGTGTAAATGTGAAGATGCTCAAACATGTTGGTGCCCATCATAATTTTCATGATAGTTGCATAATGTGCCTATCTTAACAGGTTTTAGCTAGATTTTAAGTCTCGTTATTTAAATACAATACAAATTAGAATAAATGTTAGAGAATCTTTATTTCTGGAATCGCAAACTATTTCTTGATAAACATTTCTCTTTTCTGGGCATATTCCTCTTCAGACCAGCAGACTAGCCTTGCTGAAAACCCATGAAACATTTTTAAACTTGAGGAAAGCTATTATAGGAGTGATGGTATTTTTCTTTATTAAGAAGTATTCAGAATTCAGGAAACAATAACGGGCATAAATTGAATTTTTAAGACTAATAAAAGCAGTAAGCATCTACTAAGTTGATTGGCATTGTTTGTTTTTGTTGAAATTTTTTTCCAATTTTTGTTAGAGGTCTTTAGAGGCTAGGTGGTTAAGCAAGCATTTAACTTGATTTGCCATTTCATCAATTGTTATACACTTAAATATTGTCACTAGAGAGAGATGATAATTTAAAATTTTTCATTAGTTTCTAAAATTTAAAGATTAGTTTATCTTTTAAGCTGAATCATTTATGTTTTAGAGAAAGCTTGGTTTAAGATTGAATATAGAAATTCAAATATTTAAAAGTTGAATAAATTACTCTGCTAGTTCTTAATAGCTCTAAAATCAAGGTACCTTATTCTGCTGTTTCTTTTTAAAGCAGATCTAAAACTCAAAGTTTTATCCGTATGACAAAAGCTTTGTAAATGGTTTAGCTTTTAACTGTCTTCTCTTGTTGCTGCCAAGTATTCTTTCGAAATATACTTTTCAGAAATACTTCCCTTTTTGGCTTTTGTAGGGGTTCTTCACCTGAAGTTCACAGGCCTCCAGAGTGTCCAGGGATAGAATTCACAAGTTCCTGTAACTTTATTTTCACTAATCACTAACTGAAATGTAGCATTTCCTTCAATTTTGAACGTAGGCAACAACCCCCAGTAGTATTAGCAGTATCTATGAATTTGTTACCAATCAAAATCACAAATATTTTTGTGTCATGCTACAGTTGTTCATATCTCAAAAAATCGTTTATACTTTTTACTACTTTGAAATCATGGTAGTTATTTAAAAAGCTTTTAAATCTTATTTAATTATGTTAATTAAAAAGCATATTTTATTTTATTTTTTATTTTATTATTATTTTTTTCCATCATAAGTGTACTCTTTAACCCCCAACACCTGTTTCACCAATCCTCTCACCCACCTCCCCTCTAGTAACCATCAGTCTTGTTCTCTATATTTAAGAGTCTGTTTCTTTGTTTCTCTCTCTCTCTTTCTTTTTCCTTTGCTCATTTGTTTCTTAAATTCCACATGAGTGAAATCATATGGTGTGATCTGACTGACTTATTTTGCTTAGCTTAATACTCTCTAGGGTTTTTTTTGTTTGTTTTTTTTTTGTTTTTAACATTTATTTTGAGAGAGAGAGCGAGTGAGTGAGCAAGAGGGCAAGGGGCAGGGAGAGAAGGAGAGAGAATCCCAAGCAGGCTCTGTGCTGTCAACACAGAGCCCAATACAGGGCTCAAGCCATGAGATCATGACCTGAGCCAAAATCTAGAGTCGGATGCTTAACCCACTGAGTCACCTGGTGCCCTAATACTTTCTAGTTCTATCCATGTCTTTGCAAATGGCAAGATTTCATTCTTTTTTATGGTTGAATGAGTGATTGTGTGTGTGTGTGTGTGTGTGTGTGTGTGTGTGTGTGTGTATCATCTCTTCTTTATCCATTCATCTATTGATAAACACTTGGACTGCTCCCATACTTTGGTAAATAATATTGCAATAAACATAGGGGTGTATCCTTTTGAATTAGTGACTTTGTATTTTTTGGGTAAATACCCAGTAGTACTGGGTACTGGATCATAGGGTAGTTCTATTTTTAATGTTGTGAGGAACATCATACTGTTTTCCACAGTAGCTGCACTTGCTTGCATTCCCACGAACAATGCAATAGGGTTTCTTTTGTTCCACATCCTTGCCAATGCTTGTTGTTTTTTATGTTGTTGATTTTAGCTAATCTGACAGGTGTGAGGTGATATCTCATTGTAGTTTTGATCTGTATTTTCCTAAAGATGACTGATGTTGAACATCTTAGCATTTGCCCGTTGGGTCATCGGGATGTCTTCTTT